ATTCTATTCTATTCTATTCTATTCTATTCTATTCTATTCTATTCTATTCTATTCTATTCTATTCTATTCTCCCAGCTTTGGTAAAATAAACTGAACTATACACATCCATTATTTCTTGGAGTACAAAACAAAAAAAGCTGTAAATTCAAATTCAAAATACTTTATTGATTCCAGAGGGAAATTAGGTGTTGTTGTAATTCATTTAACTAAAAACTTACTAAAATAAAAAATAAAAATAAAATAAAAACACATACAAAAATAAACACATATTATCGAATGTTTTCTGTACTATAAATGCATTTACCGTAGAAGCCTAAACTCCTGGAATACTCAGTTACCCTGTGCTTTGTTCCTTGTTCTCTCTTGTATATTGTCAATTAAAAAACTATAGTTTAAAAAAAACGAGCTCCTGGGGGGATTAAAGAGTACTTGGTATTATTCTTGTTTACCCGTTGCACATAATATGAATGCACAGAAAATCAAAACTCGCCTTTGACATTTTTGACCCTCGCCAGATTCCGTAACTCCTGAAGCGTATCGCGCATGCGCAGAACATCCGCACACGCCACATTCCCCGCTTTCGCTCGCAAGGCTTCCTACCCTCTAGGTAAACATCCACAAGCGAAACGCTTGATTTATCCGTTTTCTCGGACTATATTTCGCTGATATACGCGTTTTTTTTGTGTCCAGTTTTCACGAGAGGTGCTAATTCGGCCACGAATCTGCATTAATCCCCGTGAGTATCCGCAYATAACCGAATGTTCATTGTTTGAATGGAGGGCCCATTCGTGGCTGCTTGTCAACAGCATCAGCGCTGCTTGATGATCAAGGTTGTCGTTGAGTTCTCCATAAAACCAGATGAATTAAATGTAACGAATTGTTTTTTTTTCTCGACCTTACAACCTCAAATATTGTAATATAAACACATAGCTTTGTTAGAAAACGAATATGATGCGTCCTTCGACTTGGAGCATCTTAGCGCAACGTTCTGGTGTGTCGCTCTTTGTTTCTATCATTTACACACACATTTGATTGAAGCAAGCATGCGTTGATGTTAATACCTTTGAAACTAATTTAAAATATTACAAGAAGACCCCCAAAAGCGTTTCTATCCGGTCGTTTTTTCGTAATAGGAACCGTTTGATGGTGGCTAACTCAAGCTAGCTGCGTTAGCTGCATTTGTAGCTAAACGACAAAGCTATATTGCTATTAATTTGAACAAAAAACAACATTACCACTTCCTAGTAAGCTGAATTCTAGTACATACTAGGATCTGCAGTGCATTTTATAGCTTTAATTTGAGTAAAGCTTTTTTAAGTAAGGGTTTTCATAAGTGATTTACAAAAATGGCGTTCTAACAAACTGTTCAGTAACTCCGAGTTTAAAAAGTTGTCTTTTGTATTGAACTATCATTAGTAGTTTGAAGTTTTTATATTATTTTCAGTCAGTATTTTTTGTACCAAACTTTCCATAATTGCCTGACTAAACATTGTTTATACTTGTGACAAACACAATACCGTATTAATGTTGCATCAAAAGCTTATTTAAAAAATATTTGATTTATTATCATTGTAATTGCTTTAACAGGGTAGTGTGCAATAGATGCTGATTTTGTCATCATGGCAACAGAGGACAAGAAACCAGAGACTGACACCAAACCTCCAGTTGTTCCATCAGCCTCAGCCAGCCAAAGCAAGGTCAGAAAGTTTTAGCTTTAGGTCTCTGTTTAAGAAGTCAGCATGTAGATATTTGTGTTATTATTGTTCTTGCTTCACAACCTTTAAACATTTTCACACATAACATTGCTGTTTGTTAATTTTTTTCACAGTCTGCACCTGCAAAGCCAAACTACAGCTTGAAATTCACACTAGCGGGACACACTAAAGCCGTGTCCTCCGTCAAATTCAGCCCGAGTGGAGAATGGCTCGCCAGCTCATGTGAGTTCCTTGTTTTTATTTACRTCTCAATGAAACTCCTTTTTTCCCCCTCCATGAAATATATGACCTGTCATTGCCTAAACTATGTAATTTCTTATTACAACACATTTGGTTTTCGCTGTTGGCTTTTTCAACACGTGTTTGTTTAAACTCCAGGGAAAAGCAATCTAAAAGTAATTTCTGCATTACTGCACTGCAGTATTAAGGGCTCGACACACGGGCAGCGACAAGCTACAGCGATGAACGGCTGCCATCGCAGCCAGAGTGAAACCCGACCCACGGGACGCGATAGCGATCGCAGCGTTGCGAATCGCGCTCTCAGGTCGCTTGTCTTCACGAAATTTGATTGGTTCTTGACTCTGAAGGCGGGTGTGCATTACGGACGTGTAAACTAAACAAATCTTGCGATGCTAATGATATTGAAAAACAAACRCACATCAAGATACAATTTTATGAGGAAAAACTTACCATAAACTTCACCCTGGTGCCAATAAATTCCCACAAAGCTTTTTAGTAATCACTTGGTGAAAGTGTTAGCTAACGGCAGTGTGTAGCATACGCTCCTCTCATTGGTCAGCCAATGAAATCCTCGCTGATTGGTTGTACGCTAAGCGACAGCGACAAAAGTTGAACGTTTTTCAACTTTCATATGTCGCGTCGCAAGCTCGCGTGTGCACGTTTACGTGTATGAGCGCGAAATTTCACATGCACTATTTTCGCGGGTCGCGTAGCTGGAGGAGGGCAAGCGATTGTCGCCTCACHGCACAGGCTCCATAGGAAATGAATGGAGAGCGAGCGACGTCGCCTCCCGTGTGTCGAGCCCTTTAACTTGCTGTGGTTTTTATTTCATATAAATGAAAAGTTAAAAAGCATTCTTTATTATTGGCTAGAAGTTGAAATGGAATAATGGCTAGAATTTGAAAACATGGTGGGTCATGGACTTTAAAAATTTGTCTACATTCTTTTCCCAACATCTGATTAACTGAACCTGGGAGTGATGTGTATATACAGTAAATTTTTAATTTTTTTATTTTATTTTTTACAATTGTTACTAGTGACTTAAAACATTATTCTGTTACAGCGGCTGATAAACTCATCAAAATCTGGGGAGCCTATGATGGCAAGTTTGAAAAAACCATATCTGGACACAAACTTGTGAGTAGAACAGTTTCATCTTTTTGCTAAAAAGCGTTAAACCCATATGAAGGAGCTGGAGTGGTCTTAGGAAGCATAATCAAAATTAAATCATAGTTAGTTGTTTACCATAAAAGAAAAACACAAACTATTCCATAGTTTGTTCTTCCTCAAGCTTTTTTTTTCCTAAGATTATTTTATACCTGCAGGGAATATCTGATGTGGCCTGGTCATCTGACTCCAACCTCCTGGTGTCTGCATCTGATGACAAGACTCTGAAGATCTGGGACGTCAACTCCGTAAGAAAATATGAAAAACAGAATAATGTCACTGAACTCAACAGCTGCTGTTGAACTTGGTGCATTTTTTCCCCCCAAGAAATAATATTCTGACTTCTTTCTCACTGCTTTAGAAGCGATATTAAGWTTTTTTTTGTTCGTTTAAGATTAGTCTCTTTGTACTTAATATACTCAAGCAGCACAGCAGCAGTAAATGCATACATCGCAGTACAAAAGCTTGTAGTGTTACACATTTCTGAAGTATGAAAACAGAAACCTCGACAATCAATAGTTTTTGCAGAAGCTTAAATTGTGAAAGCAATCCAAGCTTCCTCCCCTCTGATCGGAAACTTGTTTCCATGCAGGGGAAGTGCTTAAAAACTCTGAAAGGCCACAGCAACTACGTCTTCTGCTGCAACTTCAACCCCCAGTCCAACCTGATCGTGTCAGGATCGGTGAGTGCGCAGCTTTTAGAGGCAGTGAAAAACAAAACAAACCGGGAAGCGGGTCTGACGAGCCTTCGTCGTTTCTCCTGCTCCTAGTTCGACGAGAGCGTCAGGATATGGGACGTGAAGACCGGGAAGTGTTTGAAGACGTTGCCGGCTCACTCTGATCCCGTCTCCGCTGTGAGTTTTTCCCTAAAACGTGAGAAGAAACCTCGGAGACGTGATGGGAACGTGTAAACGACAACGTTTGTTGTTGCAGGTCCATTTCAACAGAGACGGCTCCCTGATCGTGTCCAGCAGCTACGACGGCCTCTGGTGAGTGAGCGGTGATCACGTGTTGCTCCACACTCGTCAGTGTGGTTGTGTGTGGAAGAAAGAACAATCTGTTGTGGGTTTTTTTTTTTTGTGTGTTTTCTGTTGGTTCTGCTGCTGAACGACACGTCCCGATGAAATTCTGATCTTATTGTTTCAGTCGAATCTGGGACACGGCATCCGGGCAGTGTTTAAAAACTCTCATCGGTAAAAGCTTAAGAACTTAAACGCTTCATTCGCAACGTTAAAAAGTGAATAATTTGACTTTATTTTTCTCACATTAGCATGTTTGTTTTGCTCCTGTGTGTGTGTTCACGTCAGATGACGACAACCCTCCCGTGTCGTTTGTGAAGTTTTCTCCCAACGGGAAATACATCCTGGCTGCTACTCTGGATAAGTGAGTGTTTCTGATCATTTTAATGTCACTAAAAATCCCCTCATCGCCTGCAGAGGGCAGCAGCGCTCCACGAGTGACTCCTCTGGACTTTTCTGCAGCACGCTGACATTTTCACTGTTTGTGTTTGCAGCACTCTGAAGCTGTGGGACTACAGCAAAGGAAAGGTGAGCTCCTGTGGCAGCTGRGTCAGCTTGATCCAAAAAGCTCAAAACATTATTTTCTCGTTTGCTTTTTCGCCTGCTCTCTTGTCTTTAGCGTCGTACCGCTGCATGGTCCGGTRCAGACTTCGGTATTTTTCCTTCCAGTTTGGTTTAGTCCATTATTATTGTTGTGTCACAAATAAAACTAAAGATTTGCGAGTTTAATTATGTCGCTGCCGCAGGCTGCTCTCTGCTCAGCTCAACAGCTCTGGGGTAGAGTTAGGCCTGGCTGAGAGCAGCTGCGCCCTCTGCTGGATGGAGACAAAACTACACTGAAATAAGCTTTAAACAGATGTTTTCAATTAATCGAATGGAAGAAATCTTAATCTAATAAACCATTATTTGACAATTAATAGTAATTTTTTGCATCCCCATTATTAGTCGAACTACTCATGTTTTACATGTTTCTTAAAGAGAACACGGGCTGTATTTCAGACTACGTTTTTCAGCAGGTTAGTGAGGACAGTATGTGTGCTGGAAGGACCAGCATGTGTCCAAAAAGAAGTTAAAAAATCTCAGGATAATGGATTGTTTTAGGCCAAAAGTCACATAAGTTAAGAGGCAGAATATTTTCTGTACTGAAAGGTCCTGTTTCAGTGAAGCATGCAAACTATGCTACAAAACACAAAACAAATTCTACATTCTTTTTCTTTTGAACCTTTCAGTGCTTGAAGACGTACACGGGCCATAAAAATGAGAAATACTGCATATTTGCTAATTTCTCTGTCACCGGAGGGAAGGTAAGCGCTCTGATTTACTGTAAACAAGGTGCTTTTGTTGTATTTGTGACCGGTTGCTAAGCAGCTGCTCTCTGCAGTGGATCGTGTCGGGCTCAGAGGACAACATGGTTTATATCTGGAACCTGCAGACCAAGGAGATCGTGCAGAAACTCCAGGGCCACACAGGTACACTCACTTATATCAAGTGCAGCATTTTCTGTGCAGGAACATGTGGGTGGAAGGTTTACCTTTTGTTTCCATGCAGACGTGGTCATCTCCACCGCCTGCCACCCAACAGAGAACATCATCGCATCTGCAGCTTTAGAAAACGACAAAACCATCAAACTATGGAAAAGCGACTGCTAAACCCCTCCTCTTTTTTTAAATATTTTTTGGGGCTGTTCATTTTTTTTTCTTTCTACATTGTGCTGTAAGATAAGAGGACCCTTTTTGTAAAGGAAATAACAATAAAAATAAACGAACTTTTGTAAAGAGCTCCCGACAAATTTTCAGTTCCTGAAGTTCTGCAAGGAAAAGGCAAAGCAACAGCTCAGCAGCAGCAGCAGACACATCATGTCACCACACCTGAGATCCGCCTGATTCTGTCGCATTAGACAAACAAGTCACTTATTTAAAAAAAAAAAAAAAAACGAGTTTCTGATGTGTCAGTATTGTTCACACCACATTAGCTTCTCCGCTTCATAACAGCTCTTGTTCAATAAATGTAATGTTYACTGGTCCTTTTGTATGATTTCTTTTTGCCTTTTAGTTAGTCTAATAAATTGTAAAGTACCGTTTGAGTTATGTTCACATAAAGCTTCATAATAAAGAAACCCAGGAATGAATTTCTATTTTTTAAAATGTTCCAAAATTGCTAATTTCCTTCTAATGTCAGTTCAGTGCGCAACAAGAAGTTAAATCTTGCCTTGAAAAAAAAAAAAAACAGAATTTGAGGGGGAAACTATTTTGTACCTGTTTTAAGACAATTTGTGGCCATATTAACACAACAGTAACATAAAGTTGTAGTATTTGTACAGATTACACTGACATGTAAGGCTTTATAAACGCTTAATTAGCTCTTCGTCTACACAAAGCATCTGTTGTCTGTAGTTAACSWGSTTTTTGTGGAATTTGTTTTGCTTTYGACAGCTATAACCTGCAAATAAAATCAGTTTTTGTATGTTTTATGATGTGTAGGTTGTTTTTTTTAAATCACCTGCACCTGAAGCTGTGAGGCAATGTTAGACCAAAACTGYATTCATCATGCCTACTTCCTGTTTGTTCCACACTCGTTTCAGATGAGTTCTGCAGTTATTCTAATGAGGACGTAATGACGTTAGCTACCACAATGTAAAATACTAAATTTTAATCTAATCCTGAATAAGAACAACTGGTCTAAACCCATTGTCCTCAGCATTAGGATGCAGGAGATATAGATAACATTTTATTTTTGGAATAAATTTAGGGCAGCAAACCCTTTAATAAGCTGACAGTGCAGTTCTCACTAAGTATTAACTAAAAATAAAAGTACATCTGTATCAAAAGGTGACTAACTCTTAAGTTGTGTATTTGTCAAATAACTTATTTATTTAGATGACAAATTTCTAGAAATTTTGTTTTGGTGTCGTCCTAGGATTTTCAGTGGCACCCCACAGGGGTGGAGCTAGCCTTTTTTACAAGGGGTGGCCAAGGTGGYTTTAGGGGGGCACATTCAAATAAAGTGAATTAGCACACTCAGCAACTGTTTAATTACCAACAGGAGTGAAAAGGTCTGTCAATGAAGCACCGCTCTAAACTGATTGGACACATGTAAGTAAGGCTGTGAAACGTTTATGTTGAGGCTCAACATTGCAATATGTGACTCACTGACTGAACAATGTTCCATGTGTTCACTGGGTTATATTAGTGCTTTAGAGTTAGCATTTGTTAAAATTTTCAGCGCGTTAGTGCTTTAAAATAGCTTTTGCAAATTTTTTTCAATGCATTAGTGCTTTAGAATTTGCATTTKCAAATGTTTTTAGTGCATTAGTGCTTTGGAATTAGCATTTGCTATTTTTTTAGTGCGTTATGCTTTAGAATTATTGTTTGCTAAATTTTTCAATGCGTTAGTTCTTTAGAATTAGCATTTGCAAAAATTTTTAGCACATTAGTGCTTGCTATTCATTGTTAGTGCCTTCAAATTAGCATTTGCAAATTTAGTGCATTATGCTTTAGAATTAATGTTTACTAAAGTTTTTAGTGCATTAGTGCTTTAAAAATAGCTTTTGCAAAATGTTTCAGTGCATTGGTGCTTTAGAATTAGCATTTGCAAAAAAATTTGCGCATTAATGCTTTGGAATTAGTGCTTGCTAAATTTTTCATTGTGTTAGTGCTTTCAAATTAGCATTTGCTACATTTTTCAGTGCTTTAGAACAGGGGACCTGAATATTGAATTAATTAATTTTAAAGTTTTCATATTAGTACTGCCTACCACTGACCAAGTCCATACTTTAAAATGGCACCTACATYGCAGTGCTTGTTAAAGTTTCTCAAGGAACTTTTCTGGTTGCTCCATGTTACAGACTGGCCACTAGATGTTGCCCAATTTTTAGTGTCTTGATCCTTAACCAAAAACAAATGCACAAAATTGTTTTATATTAATTCAGTGGTTCAGAAAATGTTTTCTTTTCTCCAGACACAATTTACTCCCTTTTTTCTCTGTCAATTGTTGAAATGGCCCTTTTAATCTCCATCCACTTGTCAATCATTTGAGGGTGGCCAATCAGGGAACAAAASGGGCACCTGCCACACTGGCCACCCCTCTGCCTCCACCCCTGCCCCCACATAGCTTCCCTCCATACTATCTGTAGGTGCCACTGATTTCATAATCACACACAAGCAAATGTCATTCAGTTGTTTTTCGTTTTTAATTAACATTTTTTTTCTGTTCATGATCGAACGTCAGAACAACCCACAAAGAACAGATGGCAAAAATTTCATTTTAAAAACAAAGAAAAAAAAAAGAGAACAAACTATAATGAACAGAGACGTTCCCGTCTTACAGTGACGGGCTGCAAAAAGTAAAAAGGCGACACAGTTTTACCAAAGTGCCAAAGCTGACGCCCCCCCGCCCCACCCCACCCCACCCATGTTACATTTTTAGTCTGAAATCGAGTAAGCATTTCCACAACGAATATAACACCCCACAGAAGAGAAAGAACAGAGTACATAAGCGAGGGATAAAATTACCTTTGTATAAAAATAGATATTTTTTCCAAGTGTCTTTTTGTCTTTTTTTTTTAATTTAAACTAAAACATTTTGCTGTCAAAGCAACAAAGAAAGCAGTGATTGTGTCACAAGCTTGGCTTTTCCTGATTAGCGTCCTTTTTTTTTTTGTTATTTTTTGAAACAAACAATTGCTAAGCAACACGTACAGTTTGGAGGGATTTAACTTCAGATTTTTAAATTTTTTTCCCTCCTACTTTTTCGGTCACAGAAATCGAGTGAGAAGCTGGTTCTTTTGCGTTCAGAGCTGATGCACTTCTGCTGGTTGATCAGGATTCGTTTTATAACGTTTACATTCCACCCACCCCCATCACACACACAGACACACACACACACCCTTCTGATACTTGTGAAAAACACAAAAAAACTCCCCTGGGGGGGTTGAACCGTTTGGTTTGAAAGTCAATTTCTCCCTCTTTAAAATTTGGAAAAATTCAAAGAGCAGATCTGTTGATATATATATTTATAAATATATACACATATACATATTAACAAAATATAAGTATGCTCTAAAGCATTTGTGTCTATGTAGATAATGTTTTTAAAGGAGATCTGTGTCTCTTACTTCCTGTAGGGGTTGAGCTCGCACCAGTTAAACACTCTTATGGCTTTAGATACTCGTCGTCACCAATCAATCACAGCCAGCTGGAGAAGATGAGAGAAAAAAGGAGGATGTTGGGTTGATTAGAGCTCCTCGTTGCAAAGTGTGAAACAATCAAAGGTTATCCTGATTATATCGAATGGTGCAGTTTTTAAAAGTTATAGCCCTGTAGTTTTTCTGTATTCTGAAATGTGGGCACGCACTCAGTGTAAACAACTGTTTATCCACTGAAAACAYGTGGAAGCTTGAGCTGCACGATTAACCTCCATTAGGTTGTCGTTGTAAATAAATATGGCAGAATCAAAATGTGTAAGTTTAACGTTTAACCTATTTTCAGACATTTTCCATAGGTAAACAAACAGACGGTAGTTGGTCTAGTGCAGGGGTGGGCAATCTTGGTCCTAGAGGGCCGCAGCCCTGCATGTTTTACTTGTTTCTCTGCTCCAACGCACCTGCTATGAATGAATAGATGATTATCAGGCTTCTTGCAGTATGGAGGACCGAAACTGACATAATTAGAAATAAAAGCAGAATTATATAAATGAACCACTAAATAAATACATTTGAAATGCACCAATTAAAATAACAAAGGAGAACTTTATCTCATGTTTTTTTGTTTGAAATGACTTGAATATTTATTTTTCCAGGTTGGTATAAATTAGTCTATATATTTTAACACATCATTTAAATTTTACTGTTTTTTTAACATACATATTTTTGCTGTTTTTCCTTTAAATTCTACATGCATTTGTGTCTCTTAAATATTTATACTTAATTATTTTTTATATTTTTCCCACAAGTCTTTAAATTTTAGTTTAAAGCAACGGCAAGGAGAAAAACTTACCCGTGCCTTTGTTTTTAACTAAAATTTAAACTTTAAGCTAAACTGAGGCAGCACACGCCTGCAACACATCGAAATAAAAAAAAGACTTGTGGGACAAAACTATAAAAATATTTCAATTTAAATGTTTAAGAGACAAATGTATGTACAAGTAAAAAGTAAAACTGAAAAATATATACTTTAAAAAACAGTCAAATTTGAAGGGTGTTAAAAAATCAATTAAACAAGAATTAAATTACAAAACATGAGGTGAAGTTCCTTTTTAATTGAATTGGTGCATTATAAGTGTATTTATTTATTTAGTGGTTTATTTATATATTTCTGCTTTTATTTATAATTATGTCAGTTTTGGTCCTCCATACAGCAGAACTTGGAAGGTAAATCAGTGACTGAATCAGGTGTTGGAGCAGGAAAAACGTAAAACATGTAGGGCTGCGGCCCTCGAGGACCAGGATTGCCCACCCCTGGTCTAATGTCGTTATCATAAGAAAGATATTGTTTCAGGACTTTGCAAGGAGTAGCTTTAACGGCAGCTGTTCTTGAGCGAATCATCCTCGAAAACAAAGACGTCCTGCTCTGCTCTTGCAGAAACAGACAGAAAAATATGCGATTTCCTTGAAATATAAATACTGTAAACGTAGCTCAAGCTGGCAGTTAATACTGTCACCTGGATAAGTTGAGGGAATACAGGCTTTAAACCTCTTTGAACAAATTTAACAAGAATCCAAATAGGTCAGGTTATTGCTACCTTTCTTGTCGAGCAGGTGTTTCATCTAACGTGAAGGAAAAAAAATGTTCCAAAGTGCCACCATGTCTGATTAAATACTTGTAAAATATAAATTCAAGTAATGTTGCAGTGCTGCGTCTCTTCCACTAGAGGGAGCTCAAAGCACAAACAAACCATCACTACCACCCCCCCCCCCCCATAACATATTTTATCTTTTTTTTTTTCATTTCTTTTCCAAAACTTCTTGTCTTTCACCTGAAATAAACTCAGGAGAAACTTTGCATCACAGCTGACATTTCAGAGCTGGCTTATCCACACAGAGGGGCTCACCGGGGGTCAGTTTCACCAGGTGGAACGGCATTTATGAATACATTTATTTTCCCGCAGAAGCTCCTTTCAGTAACTAGCTTCAAACATTGATATGTGTGCGTTTTAGCACTGTTGTTGTGGTCCGAGTTAGCGCTCCGTGGAGTCTTGGAGGTGCAGCTAAAAAAACTTGTATTAATCAGAATTTATCCATTTAAAGAAAAGGACAACCTAGAATTAAACAAAGATGAGCTGTGAGTGTGTGTTTTAATTTGACTAAATGTGAGCTTTGAAATGAGATAAATATGAGATAAATGTCCAAACTGGGAACTTATTTGGTTTTTATGTGGTTAAAAAAAAATCACATCAGAAGTTGAAAATGTGAAACTGCAGAGGCTGCAAGTGATTGAACCTGTTAGAACCAGAACGTCTGCCAGTGTTGCTGATTATTTAAGAACATTTCTGTTAGAGGGTGTAATCTAGAGGTGTAAACCTGAAAAAAAAAAAAAACAAGTAAAAAGAAAAAAAATATCTCAACGGAAAATTATTTGGGGAAAATAATATATTTTGCTGATAATAAAAGTACTAAAACGGCTCACATTAACTGGGAAATTAAAAGAACCTTTGCACACACTCTGAAAACTAAAGTGTTGAATTTATTTAACTAAGTTATGTCAGCCGGTCCCGCTAAACCAATTTGTGTAAATGTAAAAGTAATTTACACACTTTCTTTAAAACGTTTTCTTCAAATGAAGAAAATGAACAAATTGCTTAAATATATTAAAATCAAACTTCGTTGTTTAGAGTTGATGAGGTTGTATTTCAATTTGTAACGAGGGGTTAAATTTTAAAGCATGTGTCAAACTTAAGGCCAACGGGCCAAAAGTGGTCTGCAGGTGATTCCTGCCTGGCCYGCCAAAAAACAATTTTTTTAAACAATATGAAAAGTGTTTCTTATATCAATGGTAAACTTTAAATTTATGATTAAATGCAACAAAACAAATTTAAATGGCCAAAGATAACACTACTTGTGCTGCCCATGAGCTGTTGGCTTTAAGTAACTGAGCAGTTTAGTTGGCTAGCTCAGTAATAACGTCTTAAAATAAGCTGCAGCATCGACCATGAACTACATCTCCCGTAATGCGTKTTGATTAGACGTGAACACCCTGTAGGAAAGTGGGAGATTTCAGAATTCAAGATGGCAGCTATTTCTGTATGATTTCTTTTTGTGTTTGTGTTTTATGTGCTGCAGAACAGGAACCTGCTGTAAAACAGCAATTATGCTGAGTCAGGCTTGATTTTTAGTAATCTTTTCCTGTTAAATCAATAAATCAAATCAATCTTTCACATTTAGTCAGTCGTACACGTTTTAGTGTTTATAAGAAAATGTGTAAAAACACTGTTTAGTCAAAGTCAAACATGAAACGTCAAAGTTAATTACAACTGGTCCTTTGAGGACCATCATAACACTCATGTGGCCCTTGGTGAAAATGAGTTTGAAACCTCTGCCTTAAAGTAAAGAAGTAAAAGTATGATTTAAAAATTTTGAATCTAACAAAATCCATGTAAAAAATAAAATACTTAGTAAAATTACAGTTCAAACAAAGTAAAAGTACTTTGCTACTATACACTCTGGTGTAACCTTATGGCCTATACTTATATGATTGTTGCTGCTCATTCGATTAATCACCCAAGACTCCACATACTCACTCAAACTGCATTAAATATCTTAATTTATCATTAAAAACACAGTGCTCAGGCTGGTTTTCCCTGGTTCATAGTGTTGCGGTGAATATATTCTGTTAAAATGAATATTAAGTTCTGCTGAAAGCCACTAAGACACACCGAGGTTCGCTTTAGTCGAGGGAGRATAAACCAGAACAGGATGGAAAAAAAAAAATCAAACGTGTGAAGAAACGTGGACGCCCGCCTCATAAACACGACCGACGAAGCTGCTCAGTGGACAATCTTTGGAAATGCACGCGATGCATAGTTTTGAAGCAGCTGCAGCATTTAGAGAGATAGAGAGAGAGAGAAAGCAGGAAATAAAACAATAAAACACATCTCTGCATGATAAAGATCTTAAACGTTTCAGTTCAACTTGATTGACACTTGGTTGTCTGGAGAAGTGCACAGAGTGAGGGATCCTGTGAGGAGGAAAAGATACAGAGGCGCTCTGACAAACAGAAAAAAAAAACAATAATTAGATCCACCTCAGAGGTCGATCACACCGTTCAAGAAACCAGACTCCACTGTCATGAGGTTAAGTGCCAAATAAACAAACAAACAAACAAACAATCACGGCTCTGCTGCAGCAAAACAAAGCGCTTCTCCTGCGTATAAATGACGTCTAAATGAGTGTACGAGTGATGGAGATGGAGGTATTTGTGCAKTGCTGCCGTAAGAGTGAACTGGTTTCAATACTGTGTTGCGGCTGGAGCTTTTTATCCAGGTAGTTCTGAGGCGTTGGTGGGAAGGTGAGTTTCTGCTGCGATAAAACTGACGTGAAATGAGAGGCAGGGGAGGACGTCAACTCAAAAAGCAAAAAAGAGCATTTCCTCTTATTTGAAAACCGTGGAGTCACTTCTCCAGCCAGGCTGCCGGGACCACCGGGGGGGAGACGCGTCTGACGAGAGTCTTCCAGAGACTCCGGCGGCGCTCGCGTAGCATGAAGCTAATTCTGATTAGCTTCTGGGTGCAGCGAGTCGCTGTGAGTTGTAGTCGACGGGGCTGCTGTTTGATCGGTGGACTGATGAGACGTCCTCCCCCGACGGAGCACAGTGTTCATACAGTAAGACGTGGGCGGATCGGTTGGAATTGGGCGGAGACCTGAGCTTTGTGAGAACTTGCGGATCTCCTGAAGCCACCTTTTTGAGTTCTGCTTCGGCAAGCTCACGCTTAAAAAAAAATACAATTAAAAAAAAAAACAGCTAGTGCAAAATCTGACATGTGAGTCGGACCGAGTAGACACGCTCCGTTGAGCAGATGGATGTATTTTGTTTTGTTTCGCCCCCACCTTCTTTTGTTTATCTGTTCCTGATGAAGCAGGCTCAGGCTCAAGTCCAAAAACAGTCCAGAGGCTCCAAAAAATAAAAATAAAATAAAAGTCTAGGATTGTCCCGTTTGTGACATCATCAGTTTTTGGTGTAGGTTTCACTGAGGGCATTAAGACCTGATCATCCCTGCTTTTTATGTTGTGGGCGGGGTTTTCAGGGAAGAGAACGGTGGCTCAATAATTCTGTCGTCCTCGTTTCAATCCCCCGCTGTCACTCGTGTTGCTGTTGTCTCATCTTTATATATATGTATTTACTTCTTATTTATAGATTTGTACAAAGTTTCATGGATGTCTCCTTTTTAAAACCCATCTAAGAAAGTCAGGTGGACGGAGGGGATGAAGAGGTGGGGAGGAGGGCAGGGTCCACCCAGAGTCTTGTTGTGATCTTGTCCTCGACTCAGGGAGGAGAGGGGCGGGACGGTGGATGGGTGGTGGTCCGGGTGGGATTTGGGGAGGATTTACTGCTATTATGTCATTTGATGAGGGGCTTCTAGCATCTCCATGAGGAAGGTGTCGATGGGCGTGTCGCCGATCAGTTTGAAGAAGAACAGGTGCTCCAGACACTTGAGCCCGATGGAGCGCAGGGCTGGTAACCGTAGCAAAAGCTTAGCAAACCTGTTCAAACACACAAACACACACACAAATACAGAAATAATGAATAATGGTAATATAATAACATTTTATTTGAGCAGCATGCAGTAGCGACTCAGTGTTTGTGGTTTKCGTCCCACCTGCCCGGCTGTTCGGGGTACTTCTGTTTGCAGTAAGCCTCTAAAGACGCGTAGACTTTTTCTCTCAGGGCTTCCACTTCACCTGGGTTGGACAGGCCTTTAGAATCTGCACAGAAACGCAGGAAAAAAAAATGAGCATAAACGCTTCTTATGCAGGGGCGGAGTCAGAAGGGTGGCCGGGGTGGCAAGTGCCACCTCTAGCACCTGATTGTCCACCCCAGGTGCCACCCCCAAATATTTATTTATTTATTTATTTTACTTTATTATCAGCTGAGCTGTAATGAAAAGAAAAATACAGTCGAATACCGTAATACTGGTATAACTGTTTTAAATACCATGATATAAAATTTGGGTCATACCAGCACTACTGTAATTAATGAAAGTGGAACAAAATAATTTAGTTTTTTCCTTTGTTTGGTGCATCACTGGTTCAKCCCTTAAATTAGGAGTTTTTTAAGCCTGCCTATTTCATACCCTAATAAACATTTTATTAAATCTTATTTTAAATACAAAACCTGTACTGAAACAGGGTAAGAAAAAACCCCATTAAAGACAATCTGGTGAAATATTGATCTCTATAGAACTTCTTTGAAGCAAAGTAAAACAGACTTTTTTTTTGCTGTTTTCTGTGGTGCTTTTATGCTTTCTTAAAAARAAGAAGAAGAAGAAAAGTTTTCTTTAAATGTGCTGCTGCTAGTGAAAGCTGACGTGTTCAGATCGTTACCTGGGTTGAAAAGAACGATGGCTCGAAGGCACCCCAGCTCGGTCTTGTCCATCTGCATGTCTCTCATCTTTGACACCAGCTCTGTGAGCACTCTGTGGGGAGAGAGAGAGAGAGAAAAAAGTCAGATCTGAGGATCTGAGGCTCATTCAAGACCAGGACTTCACCATAGTTTATTTCTTGGTTACTGTATTATATCAGACGAACAAACAACTGCCAGAAACACTAAGATTGCATAAAACCACTCCAAACTGCAGGATTTTAATTATTTATTTTTTTACTTTTGCAAATGACTCACTGTTTCTTCTGCTAATTACCCTGACCGGACTCATAAAAATATGTTTTTCAACCGCCATCCAGCTCATGTTTTTAAAAATAACTGCACACAAACACACTGGCGGAGCCACACGTGTGCGCTTAGATCAGTGGAAAACTTTACAGCCCTGCAAAGTCATTATATTTAGTTTGTGGTTTTTGTAAAAAAAGGAAAGCCGCAGAGTAAACACACGTCGACATGGAGCACCAGAGCTCCCGCTGTCTGCGTGTGACATCACAGGTGGGAGTCGCTCGAACTCCTCACCCCTCTCCGACTGCATCGCCCTCTGCCCGACATCATTTTCTCCCGTGTCTTTCTGGCCCTCTGTAAAGTCAATTGTGGCTCGTTCTAATTCAATTTGCTCCGAGGAGGAAAAACAGAACTAAAAAAAAAAAAAAACGAAGATGGGACTCAAGTGTGTAAGTTAATCAGTCTCTTCATTTGTTTGGGGAAGAGAGAAAAAAGGAGTAGATAAGCAAAGATAATCAGTTCTCTRTATCTTAATGCTCGCCACGGTTAACGCAGAGACGAATGGCTGCGAGCGCTGATCAGATGGGCCGAGCCGCAGCAGCTGCTTATTCTCCGCTGGCCTCCAGATTCTGCAGGGCCACCAACAGGACACGTTCAATATTCATTTTCCTTTATAAATTATGCACAAAAGAATCACTGATGAGTTGTGTGGGTGATTACAATCTGAGCTGCTAAACGGGATCTTTTCGGATCCTTTGGTTCCACATTCTGCCCTCTTTCAGCCTCAGCGTGAAGTCAACTGACATCCGTCTGCGCGCGGTATCATTTAACAGCAACCGAGAATGTATGATTTTTTTTCCATTTTTAGTATGCACACAAAAATAAATCATGATTAAAAAAAAAAAAGAAAATTAGCAATGCAAAACCAAATGGCACAGAATCTGGTCACATGGTTGCAAATAATCAGAGATCTGTGTGACTTCAACTGAAARGTTTCATATTTTCTTGCAATGTTGAGTCATTTTTAGTCACTAACCAACTTGTAACAGTTGCAGCCTACAGAAAAAAAAACATGTTTAAAGGTCTGAGTTTCCATCAACAGCCAGAAATACTGTATTGGATATAGGACTGCATGATATCAGCAAAACCTGCAATGTGYGACAATGATATGACTTGAGATAAATGAACAAATACATTATAGTRCTGATGTCGTTCTGTTCTGGGTTCAGACCTAAAAAAAAAAAGAAGAAGAAAAAAGACCCCAACAACTAATCATTTCCATTCCAGAATGACTTTTTACCTCCGCCAAGGGCGAGGTAATGTTTTTGGTCACGTATGTCTGTCTGTCTGTCTGTCTGTCTGTCGTTCTGTCTGTCTGTCTGTCGTTCTGTCTGTCTGTCTGTCTGTCTGTCGTTCTGTCTGTCTGTCTGTCTGTCGTTCTGTCTTTGGACAACATTACTCAAAAACTTGTGGACAGATTGTCATGACATTTTTACCACGTGTGTACTGGGCAAAGGAACACACCTTTAAATTTTGGTGATGTTCCGGATCACGATGCCGATACAGGATTTTTTTTTCTTTTAATACTCTGAGATTGGCAAAGCTGCGATGCTTTCACAGGGCTTCTGTAAAAAACAGTGAGCTGGATTGGACAGCACGGACTTCAATATGCGCATTTACAGAACGTTTTGTGACCAGGAAGTGCGTGACTGCACCATGAAAACCTATTTTTCCCATTTCCTCAAACACACCACATTTCCGAAACAACCAATCAAAACAGTTTCTCTCTACTAGGCTTATAAACAGAGCTGCCGGGCCTCAAAGTTTGGAGATGGGGGGAGCCAGGAAGCACATTATAAAGAGAGTCAAACCATTACAAACTCATACAAGGGGATAAAACAGATGTTTTACATGGTGAAATGTGACTGATGAAAATTTAGGAGCTTAATCCSACACCAGTTTGACGATGAATAACATCGGATGACTAGTCTGACTTTTTTTGTCACATTGGACTCCACTGAGAAGAAATCCCGTGCATACTGCTGCTTAAATGTTCGCTACGTCAGAATTTATTCAGCAAATGTGTTTCCATTTCTGCTTTTGCACATTAACTCTTACAGGATGGGGGAAATTGGTCTTGGCGGTGGTTTGCACTCTCCGAGTGCTTCTAATTTAAAAATATGATCCATGAAGGGCTCCATTTGATTGGTGAAATACTTCAAGCTTCCCTCTGAGTGACAAAACTCATAAATGTAWTTTTTTGAGCCAAACATTTATTGTAGTTYATGCAGTTTCTTGCGATGTGCCCATTGCACAGGCTGTTATCACGAAGATGATAAATGTTCCGTATATTGTGCAGTCCTAATTGGGTGCTGGTCCAGACTCTTTGGTCTCTTTAGACCTTTTCTTTCTTAGTTGTGTTTTTAAATGTGAACCTCAGCTTCACACAGAGCGTACTGGTAAAGGTGATTTTCATTTTTCCTCACCCATTTTTTTTCTCCCAGTTCTCCCTGGCACATGTTCAATGCGTCGGCTCCTGCTGCAGAAAGCCACTCCCAGTCTCGTCCTAGCTGTTATTTTCCACAAAGCGGTCTAGTTAGAATGTGAGAACCCCCACATCAGCGCTGATTACTCTCGTGTAAAAGCAGAAATCTGTTTAAAGTTTATAATTAGATTTAGGTAAAATTTAGCCAAACTTTTGTTTGAGCAGTTCAGATTTTAATTGGATATTTTTCTTTTTTTTTCACTTCCAAAAAACTGAGATGCAGTGAGGAAGTTTCATTTTGACAGAAAATCATCCTTGAACCACTTGTGACTCACATTCCTGGATGTTGAAATACACAAAACTGTCCACTGCCTCTGAGCATTAATTATTATTAACCTGTCAAAACCTCTTGCTTTCCTCTTTATTACTGATACAGTGCAAAGTTTTCTGCTTTATTGTTTGATTCATGGTCAGAGAGAGAGCGACGCTGCAAAACAGTAAGTTTGCACCCACGTTTTGTAAAAAAAAAATATATAATCCAGACGCAGTTGCTGTACTTGCACCATTGATCTACAGTTAGTGGTTACGTTCTGCACCTGCTCGTCATACATCACTGGGGATTTTGAGTCAACAGTTCAGTCACATCGGAGGATTTTGCTTCTTATGGTCTGTAAATCATTCAGGAGACTTCTGAAAAAAAATAAAAAAACTCCCAGCAGAATGTCGCATGAAGAAGAATGGCTTCCATTTATTCTGTCAACCACAGGGGTCTGCAACCTCTAAAACCAGAAGAGATGTTTCTGCTCCTCGGCTCACTAATAAAATGTGTTGTGAGCCGCAAAACATGCAACAACTGTAAATATCAACTGGTGGTCCRTGGGCCACTTTGAATTAGTTGAACGGGGGCCGTTCAGGACAGTAGGGGTAACAATATAAAACTAAAACTATCGAATGAAATTTAATGTTTATTATTTTATTTCCACTTCAGGACAAAAGAAAATACTTTATTTGTGTAAGMAAATAAAATACTGTATAGTTTATACTATATTTTATAAAACAACTGGACTATGCAGGCATGTTTTTTTTATTCTTGTTATCCAGCTTTAAAGGTCTTTAAAGGTAGCGCTGATAGATTTAAAAGAAAAATCATGCTCGAAGGCTGGAAGTTGGATTATTTAAGTGGCTAACAGGCTACTAGCTTGATCTAATCAACGTTTCACTCCAACGGTTACATCCAGTAACACTGGATTCTTTTTCTTTAAGAAAGATGTGTTTTGGGCACTTAAAATAATTTTTTTGGTCAATCAGACAATATTCTTGACCTTGTTGCCTGGTTTTCCAACGGCAAAACTTTCTAGTTCCCGTATTTAAACAAACCCAGGTGAAAAACAACAGAAGATGAAAAACATTTCTTGCATCGTAACAACAAAATATGTTTCAAAATATGAATAATTTAGGAAGGGTCTGAAACACAGCTCTGCAGAGTCTGCACTGTATATTTAGCTCGTGTATGCCCAACTTTTCAAATAGTCCCCGTTAGTTCTGCTCGAGTTGTGATGCTGCTAAACACGGGCCGCGGTCCCAGGTGGCGTTTCAGTCAGTCTGTCAATTCGCTGGCCTGGAATGTCAATAACAGCCACCAGGGTGGTGCCGGCGCACTCCTGACTTCACTGTGACTCAACTTTGCATGGATTTTTGTTTGACATTTTTCCCGAGCAGCTCAGGGTTTCTGCGAGACCCCCGATGCACCCAGGTGTACATATTTAATATAGTGGAGTCAATCAATAATTCCTGCCCTGCTTTGCCCTCTGCGAGGCCTTCCTGTGATTTCCATTCGAGCAATATTTTCACTGTCAAAAAGCAAATGATGCTTCAAACTTAAAACTTTTTTGGTGATTATTATCTTTTTGGATACTAAAATAGACAGGAACACATTTTTTTCCCTCTTGTATAGCCTCATTATGGATAAAAAATTCCTAGATAAACCATTACCATTAACAAACAAGCTGATTTCAAGTTATTCGCTTTGAAAATATCTATTAACAGCAATTGTTGTGGATTTTMATTAATTTAAACACACTGTACAATAAACTGGCAACGACCTGTCAAAGATGGCTCCCACCCCTGCACTGTGGGCGCTGTTGCGGTGGACGTGCAGCCCCGTCGCCAGCAGAATCCCATCCTTGACAGCGATCGAACGGTGTGAGAATGATGCAATGAGGAGCTCATTCCAACCTGAAACAAAGATTCGGGGGAGAAGGAGGAGAGGGATCAAGGTAAAGTGTGGTTAGAAAAAWAWAAAATAAAACAAGGTAAAGCTTCGTACAAAAGTTCAACCAGCGTTCATGCAAAATAAAAATAAAAAAAACGGCAACAAAGGCGGAATTCCACCGAATCAATTACGCCGCGCCGTAAAACCCCCCCGCAGCTTTCTCAAGCACAAGCATGAGGTTATCTCCGAGACGTTTGAATCACGCTTTCTAAGGAGACAGGCGTGTAAAAGGGATGAAAGTGCGCCTGCCATCACAATAACGACAACAGGCTTGATGTGCCAAAGCAGGGGGGGCCTGACGCAAGGCGCCGCCGCGTGAGTGACGGGGCTCCTTTAACTGTTCTGCCTGGCAACACTCGCCTCTTCTCCCCACAGCTGAGTAGGCCATGAGAGGAGCTGCGACGCTTTTATCTGCGATGCAGAACTAAAGCGGTTATTTATAGAAAAAAAAACCTGAGAGACGAGAGGAGACGAGCTCGGCGGGAGAACGTCTCTCTCTCCACTTTGCTGAAGCGTCTCCATCGCCGTGCGCAAAGGACGAGGAGGAATGATCTCCAACTGTTACCGATCAGCGCCTCATTTCTTTTTCCTGGAAACGGACAGAGAATATGATGGTGTAATTTGGAGCGACAGGCAGGGAGCGGGGGGTAATGTGTTGAGGAGAAACCTGAAAGAGTTTTCTGCGTGTGACGCTAGTAGCCGAAGTGACGACTGATTCGCTCTCTATTTCACAAAGCTGTTGCTTTTCTGATCTTTCAGATGGAAACAGCAATCTTGGGCCCGCTTCTTATCCCGGTCACATGACCTGCACATTTATTCATATTTACAGACACGAGTCATTACAGACAGTGATTTAGCTTTAGCATTTGTAGCGTTCTGTGTTTATAGTGGAGTTTCCAACCATCCTTTAAAGCAGTGTTTCCCAAAGTTGGAGTCGGGACCCAAAGTAGGGTCCCGAAACATCAAGGTGGGGTCCTGAAAAGATTTTCTGAATTAATTACATTTTTGCCTTAGTTGTTACAAAGGAGTGAGGTTATTATATTTAAAACGGACAAATGTAGTATAAAAATATTGCTACTATGCCCATGTTTTGTTGACCTGATACAAATGTTTATCATCCAAAAACAGTTGGGGGCTCAGGTCTCTGCTACTGTTATTTTGTGGGTCAAAAGCTGAAAAGTTTGGGAACCAYTGCACGTTGGTTCCCAAAGCTGGGCTTGGGACCCAATTATGGGTCCTGAAGCACCTTGGATAATCTCTAGAAATCAATAAAAAGGGCAATAAATTAATTGCTGATGTAATATTTTCCCTATAATTATTACAAAAACGCAAAATAAGTATAWATAAGTWTTTATATTTGTGTACAAGCTGTTTAGATAGTCAAAAAGCCTGTGTTTTTAGGGTTATTAATGAAGWTCGTGTACCCAGACCAGTAATATTTGGGGTCACAAGTTTTTGCCATGGATACTTTGTGGGTCAGAAGATAAAAAGTTTGGGAACCACTGCTTTAAAGCACATAATCTTCCCTTTAAGTGCATCCTAAATTACATGCTGCTTATTAAAGTGACAAAGAACACASTCTGGTTCATATTTTTAGGATTCAGTCGGATTTAAACATAAYGATATGGCTATTAAGCCCGATTCCTTTATTCACTGCTTATGAGTCACAAAGAGTTTGACGCACAACCAAGGAGAAGCACTGCCTGTCATTGTTGCTGTAATGTGCGCAACAGAAACAGGATTAGAATTTGACAAAAAGGCAGGAGGAATCTCACTATGTGAAATGGAAAAGTGGAAAAGAAAAGTGGTTATYCATTCTTGGAATGTGTGAAGGAAAGTGTCAACAAGGCTCGCTGCCATCAGGAATTTAGGGACATTAATCTTTTTTGCAGCAAGAAAAAAACAATATTGTGGAAAAATTATGACACATTTCCTTATTAGTGTCTTGTCCTGACCAAATATACTTCTCAAAAAAAAAAAATAAATAAATAATGGGAACACTTAAACCCAATCTAATTCCAAGTAAATCAAACTGGAAGCAACACTGATTGACAAACCATTTCACATGCTGTCAGCACATTCAACTTCACATCTAAAATGTATTTGAGTGTTCCCTTTATTTTTTTGAGCAGCGTACATTAAATTTGTTTAAATAAAACTGACTCAAATTTAAGCATCTCTCATGATTTTTATATTATACTGACCTATGTCACATCAAAAACAATCCAAAGATGTAAAGATTTGTTCATATACAGCATTTTGTGAGCTCTTGAATGTGCAGTGTAGCAGACCTGCTCGTAACAGGATGACCTGGTCGTCCAGCGGCAGCTCGGAGAAGTGGGGGATCCTCTTGGCCCACTCCACCAGGGTGAAGAGCTGTTTGTCAGCTGCCTGACAGATATTCGTCACCGGGTCGTTGGGCTGCAGAGGAACCGACACAGAAGCAGGTAAAATGAGCAGGTGTGATATTTTTAAGTTTGGTTTGCGTGTATGTTTTGGGCCGGAGCCAGATCTGTGGATGAGTTACCGATAACTGTGTTTCTAGACACAAACCGTCACCGAGGTTTTTTTTTTTKTTGCTGCGCCGGGATTGATATCCTGGAAAAAGGAAGGAAAGTAGGCGGATAAAACAAACAGTGATTCTGTCCCAGCTTGTTGGGGAAATACCTGCAGAGAGCTGTCAGTGAAAAAAAGCATTTTTTTTGTTATGCCAACTCTTTCTTTGGGGACCTTTTAGTCGAAACACTCTTGGACAGCGAGAGGAGCTCAAGAGGCCCTCGACAGGCTCTACTGACACTTTACTGAACAAGTGCCGARGAGCTGGGAGGAAACTTTATTGCCAACCAGGGGGCACTGTAAAACGAGCAACTTAGAGCGCTCATACACTGCAAAAACTGTCCATCTAACCAAGTTTTAAAATCTTATATCAGCCAAAAAGTCTTTTTGATCTCGTTTTGGGACTGATTTACTAAACAAGAACTGATTGTGTAAGAATAATAATCTTGTTTTCAGAATGTATAAGATTATTTGTCTTGTTAGCCTGAAAATTTGACTCAAATTAAGTCAAACATTTCTGCCAATGGAGTAAGAAAATTTTACTTGGCAAGATTCTTGAAATAAGAAAAACTTGAGTCAAATCAAATATTTCAAGAATGTTACCAAGTAAAAGTTTCTTACTCCATTGGCAGAAATGTTTGACTTTATTTGAGTCTCATTTTCAGGCTAACAAGACAAATAATCTTACACATTYTGAAAACAAGATTATTATTCTTACACAATCAGTTCTTGTTTAGTAAATCAGTCTCAAAACAAGATCAAAAATGACTTTTTGGCTGATATAAGATTTTAAAACTTGGTTAGGTCGACATTTTTTTTGCAGTATGGTGATTAGTTCCACTAGCCCTAAAACACTAACTCTAATATTTAGGTCCCCTAATTCTAAAGCACTAATACACTGAGAATGTAGCAAAAGCTAATTCTAAAACACTAAAATAACCCAGTCAACCCATGAACATTCTTCAACAGACAACATGAGTCACATATCATCATGTTGCTCTCTTAATACTTATCATTGACATTCCACAGCTGTATTTAGGTTCATATATTGTCACATAGTCGATAAGTGACACATATGAGYAAAATATGCAACAGCTTTCACCGTCAGCTGTTAACAATAACTTTGATCAATAACATTTAAAGACCTCCGTTAGTGCTTCTAAATTTAACCTATAAATTTAGCAAGTGCTAATCCACTAATAATTTTAAAATTTAGCAAAATTCCTATAGCGCTAATCATGAAATTAGTTCCCCTATTAGTGCTTTAGGGGAACTGTGCCCACCACTGCTCACAGTAATGCTTGTATTAAAGATGTGATTGTTCTGCAGCTCACGTAGTTTTAGCAAACTAAAACAAAAGACTAAATTCATACTGCAATCCCTATTTTCCCTCCATATCCACATTGTTTTCCATTAATTCTCAAAAGACATGTTACATAAACATCTTAGCATAAAATAAATTACGAGTGTGTTAAAGATTTTTTAAAAGCATTGCTATGATCTAGTAGATTGTCCTTTTAATGCTTTAAAAAAGAAGACTTGGTTTCTTCGTGCTCACCGTTATTGTAAACCCACCTGAGATAAAAACATGAAAAATTTAATATTTTCACTGAGAACGGCCCGTCTTTACTTGATCTTCTTGCTTTTATGCTCATGTTATCTTTGAGGCTTTTGTGTGTCTGAGAAAATAAGCAAAACATTTTTCAGCTTATTGCCACAATTAGGAAAACGTCTCGCAAAGCGGTTCAAGACATTTAGCATCTGATTGTGCACAATATTTTTTCTCACATTAATGATTTGTGTCTTTGAAATAAATATTTGTAAGAAACATTTTTGACCAGATGACAACTACCATGTGAATTTGCTTACCTACAAAATCAGCCATTCGCTAACCCTAACCCTACCATTCAATAACATTTGATTTTATACTTTTCAATGATAACTGTAAATGAATAAATAATTTAATTAATCTACTCTGGTTCTGTTTGTKTTTTCACGCTCTGAAACACTGCTGTCGTGTTGAAAACAGAGTTCAGTTCACCAAAGTCTCCAACTCCCCTGTGCCCAAAAGAAAGAAACGTCAATGCAGTAAGAAGCCCCGACTGGCAGACATGTTGAAAAGAACTGTGTTTTAACAGCCCCACYGTCGTTAGTCGGATTTCAACAATTTTTGACACTTTACACTGGGAGAACATCAACACTGCTGCAATCTGGAGTTCAGAAAACACTCTTAGTGCCACGAAAACCTTTTTTCCACCCCTAAGAAGAAGAGAATTTTGGTTTTCACCAATTCAAACACAAGTGCTGCTTCTCCTGAACTGTCCTTCTGCATTAGATTCAGAAGTATCGTTCTTTGATCCAAAGGGAATAGCTGTGGAATACTAATGCGATCTGTGCATACAGTACCTGACTAAAATGTAACTCCATCTGGACAGGGGAGGAGGGGTGGGGGGTGTAAAAAAATCCCAAACAATCCCGTCAGTCTTTGACAAGTCATTTACTGTGATCCCTTGATACAAACCCTTGATATGCATATGTGTAAACAAGCACTGTGCACACATTTCTCTGCATAATAATAAATCAAGTAAACATTCTTAAAATGACGTTTCTCCGTGTGAACTCGCACTTTGACAAAAAAGTAAGTAACTTCTCCCCGACTTCCTAAATCAAATCCCACAGATCGATGCTAAAAGCTTGGAAGATCCTGGCATCAGCTGCAAATCTCTGGAGAAGATTAGCTCAAGGCGAAGGAGAAAACAGATCTACGCCCTCCTTCTCTGTTCCTAATGTGCTGGCCAATCCTCTCCTCCACATTCCATCCCTGTAGTGTGAAAGTCACGACGACTGCAAAGGACTACAGATGTCTATATGAAATATAAAATTTAAACCAGACACAAAGCTGTCACTGTTTTGGAAACTGAAAGTTGTCTCTCTTTTTTTCGCCCCCCCCCCCCGGGGACAGAGAGAGACAACAGACATCTTATGAATATTTCAGCATCTGATCTCCGTGGGAAACGGTGGACGGCGCAGCTCAGCGCGACAGTTTTCGTGAGCAGCGTTTCCTGTCAGAGACACAAACAGATTGAGATAATTCATTCCAAAGGGCAAGCCAGGCGACAAACGCAGCAAGACAAAAGGGGCGCTCCGATGTGTGCCACCGTCGAGCCCCCGTCCACCACCACCCCGGCCCCGCAAGAACAAGAATCCCCGGATTCCCGTTAAACGCGGCGAGCCTCATGAATGTTGAATGGCTATCGTAGCCGTGTTTACGCTGACCTCATTTCTTTTGCTTCTGCTGGCGGAGATGACAGGGGAGAGGAGCTTACACTTTCCTGAGACAATTTGCGAGCATCACATTACTGTAGTTACCGCTCAGGTCACAGATTATCAGGCTACAACCACGGAGTCTGCTGTGAGCTGTAGTGTTGTCGCGTTACCCTGAATGCATGAAAGTACAGCGGCTCTGCCTGGAAAGCTACAAAAAATATGAAGAATCTTTAGGGAAAGAGAGCAAAGACGTAAACCTCAAGGTTTTTTTTAAAATAAATAATATCGGACTCAAACTGAGCCATCTTCATTCAAAACAAATCAAAGGATTCACCGCACAAGTGTGCTTCATCACCATCATTCCAGCTACTTAGAGAAATGGCAAGCTTGCATACTGTCCTATGAAATTTTCATCACTTGCTAAGGGGAGGGGAAAGATTTGCCTCTCAATTTTTCATTATTCTGCTCGAACCAGACTATACGAGCGTGACAACAGAGAGAAAATTGGGTAGCCATACAGATCAGTTGGAAAATAAATTACTCAAGCGTCCCACTTTTTTCTTCTTCCCCAGATTGAAAGAAGAAACYATCCTCCAATAAGAGTGACTCATTGGCTAATACCCATCAAAACAGCAGCAACACTTTCTGCCTCATGTAAATGAGAGGATATGAGCACTTATAATAATATTTAAATGCATTAATCACCAAAAATAAAAGATGTGAAGGAGCTGGCTGACAGCATCCTCTCCTTTTCCCTCTCGTTCTGAGGAAAGGACCTCTCCTCTGYGACTGAAGGCATATTACTAACGCCTGTTTAACTCCTGTTCTAGGTCACCATGAGATAAACACACTTTTATTCAGCTCGGCCAGACCTCGGCCATTAGACAGTGGCAGCGGCCCATTCATGGTGTACACTCATGACCCTGGGCCCTGTGATTAATTATAGCACGGGGCAGCGCCTCTCAATGGACACCGGCGGGGGTGTGGAGGAGGTTTGCGTGGGGACGGTATTCAGAGAAGGGGAGTCCTTGTTGTAAGGGCAGCCTGAATGCTGAGGCTGTGCCAAAATCGCAGGCTCCACTTCATGAAAGGGTCAGCTCCCCCAATTTAGAGAAACAAGAATCAAGTCGTTCTCTCTGGGGTACAAACCTGTTCTGACAGTTCCCCGTTGGATACGACGAGTCTTTCTCCTTACATTTGGCACCCTTCATCAGTTAATATTACTCTATTATTAGCCAATAAATGCCAACTACGGTTTTCTATACGTCAGAAATGGAATGCAAAAACAATCAAAGAGCTGCTCTGTCATTAGTTTCAACCAATGGTGAAGAGGCAAATATCCAAAARCCTAAACTGGTAAAATTTCTTAAAGTTTTAATCGAAACATGTCTTTGAGGCAGCAATATAAAGTGTAGAAAAAAGACGTTCAAGTTGRAGATTTTACTTCTTTASTTCTATTTCATGGAATGTCCTTAAATTTCTTCATGCATTAACTGACAGTTGATCTGAGCAGGTTTCCAAATAAGCCCGTTTGCCAAAGTTGTTTCCTTCCATTTGATGTTGGGCAAACAGCAAACGTGGAGAAAGTCCAAATCCACACCTTGTTTAAGCATTTCTCAGCTGCCCTTGAATCCACMCTCAGCTCTTTTCCCGTATGTCAACGCTCCGCTCCTACATTTTCAGCTTTCTCCCAAAATAGCTCCAATTTATTCTCATAACTGCCCTTACATTTCTACCTTTACTTCACAAGACATTTCCCTCTCCACTGAAGCAGATGAATCCCAGGAGCTCCCCTCCCCTCCTCCTCCTCCTCCTCCTCCTCTTCCTCCCCCGTTCAGCCGTTTGGTAGGCTGTTGCGCAGCTCCACTGCTTCCCGTGTTGCAACAGAATTCCAGAAAAAGCTGTGGCTTTGTGGGATGCTTTCAGGAACAGTCTGCCTGCTGCATTATTCATCACTCTTCAGTCTCCGCTGTATCAAAGACACCCCAGCTGATGCTTGGAGTAAAGACGGAAATYCACAGCTGAGTTAAAATAAGGCGAACGGCTGAACTGACGTTTCAGAGTAAAAGCAGTCACCCCCCGAAGACCAGAAAGTTAAAAAGTAAAAGAAAAGAGAGGACAGGCTGGAACTCATAACTCATCATCCGCACCAACCTGCAGACAGCAGGGTAACGCAAAAATCTCTCATTTGTAGTAAAAAAACATGCACTTTTAGCAGACAAAGCTAAACTACTTTTAACAAACTTCCTGAACATAAAACCATTTTAAAGTAAAAGCAAGAGAATTAGAATTAACCACAGATGGAGAAAAAATGGCATTCAAAAAACAGTRAACCCTCTGTCTGCTGAAGGCATAAATATGACAAAAGACATATATAAACYATATATAATATAATTTAGGACCTGTTGCAGAATCAAAGAMAGAACTCTCACCGAGTTGGACGGCACACCAAGGTTGCTCTCRATGTAGGTCTCGGTTTTGGGCTCCACCGCCTCCTCGGCCTCCAGGATCTTCTCCACGGGCATGTCCTCGTTCACGCAGCTGGTGGACTCCACCTCGTTCTCACTCTTCTCCTTGGCCCGCTGGCGCTCCTCCTGAACGGCTGCATGTAACAAAACTGATTTCGTTCACTACTGCTGTTTATTCGACAACGTCAGCAAATGTTTCAAATGGCATTTATGTTAAATAATTATTTTTTAATGTGAGTTTGTGGACTCTTTTTTCAGCTTAAAAACTGGTGCCAAACTGTAAAGTCATGGTTTGGTTTGGTTCAGTTTCACAGCCCAAACTGCTGCTTTTATACAGTGAATTAACATCTTAACACCAGTTAAGAGCAGAAAGAGCATTAGGCTTAGACGTAAATGTTTATTTGTCACATATTTACAGTAGTTATACATGGTGCAACTCGCAGTGAAATGTTTTGTGCAAAGTWTKGAATTGTGCAAATAGGCTGGATAAAGGAATAAAGAAGGATTGTGAGTTATATAAGTGGGTCTGTTGTTATTGTTCTTGTTGAGAGTCTGGTTTGCAGGAGGAAACTGCTCATCCTCTCTGTCCATTGTTCGTTTGGCTCGAGTCTTTTATTGTCTTTCTGGATCTGTTTGTTGTAGAGTGGTGTGTGATGCGTTGYGCCGATCATAGTGCTGCTCCTGATGATGTTACCGGTGATGATGCTTTCAATGATGCAGGTGTTTCTTCAGYACTTTGGTAGACAGTCGGTGGTAGAGACGCTGTTGGCTCTTTACCGGGTCTGTCCATGTGAGGTCTTGAGTGATGTGCACTCTGAGGTAAATGACGCTGTCCACCAGTTCTCAGCCTCTTCCCTGGATCAGAATCGGGCRGTAGCATCTCTTCCGCCTCTCGGCAAAGTTCACAATCTGCTCCTTTGTTTTGCTCACGTTAATGATGAGATTCTTYGTGTGGCCTCAAGTCTCCAGGTTTAGAATCTCTTCATGATATCCCTGCTTGTTGTTGGTGGTGATCAGATTTATCACAATGATGTCATCTGCGTACTCGACGATAGTGGTAGAGCTGGTGGTGGCAGAGGTCCCGGGTTCAAATCCCGGACGAGCCCCCAATTTGTTATGGCCTGGCTCTTTGGCCATAACAAATAAAGGGAAGCAACGCATTTGAAAACTTAAAATTAAATTTATTTAACAAAAATCATGTCTGGCTGGAGAAAAAAGAGCAACAAAAGGAGAAGCCTCGCACTGAGAGCCAGCAGCAGATCTTCAACTGGATCTCAAGCTCTTCTAGACACTGGCCAGCTGCCTCCAGTTGCAATCAGCACCAATCAGGAACTCTGAAACCTACAGGTGTTGGAGAAAGACCCAGAGGAAAGGCCTTGGGTCGTAACAATGGTCGGGTAATATGAGGTGTGATTTCCCATACATTTCAACCTCTTTGGGTGTTTACCTGTATCATAACCCTCAATGAACTGTATTAATCACATAAATTTAAAGATTTTAAAATGAGTTTTTGAAAAAACCTGCGAGATTGCCTTATTAGTCTGTATACCTGCAAACTGAGGGAAAAGCTGTGTAATTTRTGAAATTTGTACAACTTAGCATATGGTTTCCATGGATTTAGATGCACTTTCTGTCAAATCATTATTTACGGTTTCAGTGAGGTGAATGAAACATAAAGGGACCCGTGTCCCAGTGGTTCAGGGACATCAAAGAAATGCGTTCCCTTATGTTGTGTTCAACGACAAACAGCCTTCTCTTTTTGTCTACAAACAATTTAAAGACACACAAAGCCTGTCACTAACTTCTTACACCACAAATATAAAGTTCAGATCATTTTAATAAAAACAAGCGTCAGCACAAACCAATGGGGGACTTTGTTGTGTATAAAAAACAGATTTGAACACAGCTTTGTTGATGCTGTTTTGTCATCTGATTGATTTGGAGACAGGAAATGGTTTGTGTGCAGTGGAGACACAGAGACTCAGAGCTGCAGCAGGAGAAACCGCATGTCCAGCCTCGGGTGAAAAATAAAATAAAATAAAATAAAAAAATGGCATGAGTGTGTTTTTTGTCTTTTCAAAAGGCTGTAATTTATTTCACTCTGAGACCACAGAAAAATTGTTTTAGTGTACTGCGGCTTTTTCTTCCAGCCATGGATTAATAAAAAGTATCGGGGGGTGTTGTATGACAAAAGGGGCTTTTTGGAAACTCACATTTAACAGGTCTGTGTACACACACCCAGATATCCGTGTTTCCCAACACACAAGGAAGGGTGTGCTGGACGACCTGTCTTCTAAGCCTCTCGCTGCTCTGGTTTCCATTTCATGTCCTGAACTGGAGAGGCCTTGGTTTCGTTGTGAGGGGAAAGGGGAAGCAGAGGTTGTTAGAGGAGAAGGAGAACGGGGCCCCATTTTGGAGGAACGGCTGTCTGGCGGTGGAGGTCAGCCCAAGGGTAGAATACTTGTGTTGGAGTCACGGAGAGGTGAGGAGGGCTGAAATCATGTTAGCTTTATTTTCCCCCTTCTCTCCCCCTCCGCCTCTCCTGTCCTGACTGGGAGAGCATAAATTCATTTAATCCTGTTTTTCTGTGGATTCGCTTAGCCTTTTGGGCTACTGCTGTGTTGTTCTCCAACCACAGCCCAAGGGGTGCAGGAGGGGTGGGGAGAAGCTCAGGCAACGCAGGGAGTGAGGCAAGAGGCAGTAAACGATAATATCCTTGAAAGGAGTAAAGAGCCCAACAATGACATAAATAAAAAACAAGAAGGACGGGAGGCCAAGAAAAGGTCACGAAAAAATCGGGCGCAGATTCTAAAATGTTGCTTTCAACCAAGAGGCTCGCTGAATCCAAATGTGCCTGCATTTATAATTTTCTCTGCTTTTCTGTGCATGATCTATGAACTCTGCATTCAATCACTGTTACCAGACTGGAGGAAAGGACTGATTGATTTGTTCAACGTGTGAAAGAACGCTCAACAGCCCTGCTGAGAGCACTAATATTTTTAACACCTACATGGAGTGTTAAAATTCACACCTCACTGCCTGTTTGGACTCAAAACTCTTGCTGTTCTTAAGCACACTATTTTCTCAAAGTGCTTTAATGCACGGCTCCACGGTGAATCTTTAAAAGTGTCTATTATTGTTTTTAACAAAAAGGAACATGTTATTCTTATACTAATTGTCCCAATCGCTCTTGTTTTTTTTTTTAAAAAAGCAGCACTGTCATGTCAAAATCACCATAGAAACAAGTGGTCTCTCAGGATGAGYGAGGTCTCTCTACAAACATGAATGCTTGCTGATTCAAAGTTTTTCTGCAGAAGCACAAAAGCCTTTTTTTCTACTTCTGGTTTTAACATGATCTCAAGTGGCAATGACCCGAATTTAATATGTTTATTTTTTTATATATCTCAATTGGCCGTTTGTGATTGATTCCCAGAGATGTGAGCATTATTTTCATGTTTGTTTTCTCCCCCCAGAGGGAAGAACAGCAACATTTTTCCTTATTTGTGTACAGTTTCCAAAAGAAAAAAAAAGAGTAAGAAATMAAAACAAGAAACACAGCATGTATTCTTTGTAGTGTTTCTAATTAATTCAAACCAACAAAAATGATGAACTTGTTATAAGTCTCTTGTGATCTACGCATCTGAATTTTTCCCATTTTTTTAAAATGTCAGACCAAACCAGCTAAAGAGATTTGAGAAATCAACTCAAGATGTTGCCRTTTTATGATGTTGTTGGCATGTAAACAAGTATGTTCTTCCATTAATCTTCATGACAGGGGATGTCGTTTGGGTGGGTGGTCCCTCAGTGTGGACACGTACGCTGCTGCATTTATACAGTGTTGGTGAATGGGACTTTTTCCCAGCGTGTACGTTAACATCAGATCTGGACAGAGCTAAAGAAATGACTGAGGTCAGAATTTACAGCCCCAATTCTAAAAAAAAGCAAAGAATTTTGTTTTAATTGCATGTATATTTTGATTATTAGTCTTTTCATTTAGAAAACGGATATTAAAACGAGTGGTTATTCTATACTCCAAAAATGGAAAAATGGTTCAATCAGCTGACAGCTGCTAAAGAAATGTCCAACTAGTTAGCTGGTGTTTATTTATTTCTGCTGCCTGGTTAGCTAGTTATACAGTAAAACGAGTTTGATCATCCCAATATCGATCATTTAAGGTGGACCAGGAGGAACAGTTTTTTTWAAATAAATTAGCTAGACTAGCTATATAAAAATAGCGTCTGGAGTTATTTAGTTAAAGAAATGCAAAATAACTTAGCTAGCATTTATTTGTTTATTTACAAGCAGCGACTTGAAATTAAAAAGTTATGAAAACTAGCTCCACCTTAAATAGTCTGATAACGACAGGTTAAATTTTTGGTTTTAACCTGTCATAGATGAGCTACTATATCAATAAAAAATACAGTCAGCAGTTAGTAAGTTACAAACAAGGCAAAAGCAGTTAGCTAATGTTTATTTATTTGTTTACAGTCAGCCACTTGGCTTTAAAAAGTAATTTAACTAGCTCCACCTTAAATGGTTTGATAACGACAGGTTAAACTTCTGGTTTGAGAAAAAAATAAAAATGTTTTTCTGTATTTGGAGTACAAAAAATAATAATAAAATAAAACAACCATCCATTTTTCAATATCTATTTTTTAAAATGAAAATTTAATGACCAAAAAGTACACAGACTGACATTTTGAACATATCAAATGCTAAAATTAAGAAATTATTTTATTCGAAAAKAATTTTTTTTTATTCTTGTTGCAGCAACACATATTGAAAAGCTAGGACACGTCCATGTTTACCTCTGTGAAGAATCCTTCCTTTTTGACAACAGTGTAGAAAACATTTAAGTACTGAGGCCATGCACCTGAATCTCATCTGATGTTTAAAAGCAGGGTTGGACTTGGTTAGTACTTGGATGGGAGACCACCTAGGACTACCAGGTGCTGTAAAACCAATGTAGGAGCTGTGCCCATATTAGAAACTAGCAAAAGAAAACCTTTGTCCAAAAAGGTGGTGAGGAGACCAGTTTTTGAGTCCTATTTTTGACTGAYGTAGGATTTTAGATGTTCAACATTTCAGGCTTTTGTTTGCTGAGTGGGAGCATGTGTTGTTCTAAAACATAAAACATACATATATGTATTTACTGTATATATATTTTTTTCATTGAGAAAAAAAATGCTGCAAATTGTTAAATTCATAAACAGAAACCCTAACATAGTATAAATGTGTGTTTAATCAGCTCAGCAGAGATGTGAGTGGATGGATAAGTAGCACTTTATCCTCTACGGTATGTGCTGTACCTTCTCTCTTCATGCCCATGGCTAAACACTTCTGGTAGCGGCAGTACTGACAGCGGTTCCTCTGGCGTTTATCGATCACACAGTCTTTGTTGTCGCGACAGGTGTAGGTCAAGTCCTTGCGCACCGTCCTTTTGAAGAAGCCTTTGCAGCCCTCGCAGCTGTACACGCCGTAGTGTTTTCCTGAGGAGGAGGGAAAAACAGAGGCCGTTTGGCTCACGTTCAGACAGGATAGGGCTCATGTTTTCCACAGAAACGTCGTATTTGTGAAAAGCATCTGCAGCGCAGCGTCCACAAGAACATATTTGTGAAACGCATTGTTTATCAACAGGGCCATCCCATTAACAGAGAAGTCCCAATGTGCAGTTACACAAGCAGCATGAAGGAACCAGGACATAATGGAACAAAAGAGCAATTATGATCGAGGCCTACAGACTCCATGTTTGGAGTTCAAATTATAAAAAGAGGGGCCCACTAAAAGGGAAGCTGTAGTAAGACCCTGTTTTCATGTCTGTCTGTTGTTCCTAACAGCTCTTTTTTTATTTATGACTAATGAAGCCCATTTGCTTTCTCCGGTGTTGCTCAGACGAGCTCTTTGTTCGATCTCTGCAGGTCAGACCACCAGAGAAGCTAAATAAAGCCTCCAAGCAGAGCCAAATGAAGCATGACTTGCTATTTAACACTGTTTTTATGCCCCCCCTCCCCGACTTTGGGTGCATGCAGCAGCAATGACGCAGGATGACAGTAAAATCCTCCAGTGAATTTAGAAACTCACCTAACGCTAAGCAGAAAAACAATATGGTTATTCTCAGAAAAAATAACATAAACAAGGATTATTTGTGCACCACTGAGGAGAAAAAGCCAGAGTGAGTAAACACTATGGAATAATAGTTAACCACCAGTTAAAGGTTTTTCTCATTAAAGTCGCTCAGTGACTATGGACCATTATCTCCTCAAGAACTAGCTCAAGGGGATAATTGGTCCATGGATGGCTGTAAAATGAATATTTCATTAAAGGCCACAAAGTGACTCCAAATGTAAACATTTTCTGATTTGTAATTTTCAATTCAAGTGTTCTTTGCAAGACAAATTACATTATTTTGTTATACTTTTATATTACATCTCAAGAGGTGTAAATGTGAATTTAAAGTGCCAGCAACATCAAATTTCAGTAATAAATATGAATGCATTTTTTGCTGAAAAAGAAATCAGAGCTGAGATGAACAGTTGCTGAGATATTTGCATGTAAAGTAACAGGAAGTGACGTCAAAGGGGAATGTCTGCATGTGAACAGTGCATTGCTACAGCAGCTAACAAACCAGACTGTAGAGAAGAATCTGATGATTCTTTTTTTTTAGAATATTTTGAGGCACTATCAGAGAGAAACAAAGACAAAGAAAGACCAGGAAGTTATCTTTCTTAAAGAGTTCCCCTTTGATGTCACTTCCTGTTACATTTTGGCTGAGATAAGTTAAAAGGAACATGCCAGTTATGTAGCAAAATAGGTAAAATTGTGTGTATCATGCCAAGTKTATTAACTATTAAGCTATTTCCCTTGACATTTTGTATTCGAAGGATTTGCATGTCACAGGCRCTTTAATGACTCATATGTAAATGTAACTGTTGTACATTTAACCTGACTGATCGTTTCCCAGTAGGGACTGAGTGGCTGAGCATGGCTTTGCTCCGACACAGCACTTCTCTGTTCCAGCTGAAACCTTTCTGCTGTGTAATTTAGCTGCTCTTTGACCAAAAGCTCGTGTTTGGATCTTCTTTGGTGGTTTCTCCGTGTGGTTGCGGCAGGACTGAACAAGACGCTGGGTACTCCTGGTTTCCTTTAATCTGGTTACAACGCACGCTTTCGTCTTAGAAGAGGTTTAGCAAACATTTAAAACACTTCAAAACTAATGGCAATGTCATCCTGCCGACAACGCCAAAAATTGTGGTGGCACGATTTACCAAGAATGCAGAAACACGYTGGAATAAATGCACAGAAAGTCTGCGTGTATGGTCGTCATATGATTTCATTTGAGCAACAACAGAGCAGAAGTCAATCAGAGAAGTCCGTCAAGTTGTGGCTGGCTCGTCAGGGCAGAGCAGCTGATAATATAACATCCTGTGACATGCTTACAACCAATCACAGTTCGCCAACTGTGAACCATCTAACCAATGACAGGGCTGTCAGCCCGGAAACACCTTATCAAAATAAAAGASGTCATGCATTGCTGGAGTCTKGAAGTCTGGGCCGATAGAGTAAAACAGCCAAAACTAGTTATCATGGGATATGATTACTGGACAGTGTCAAGGTAGAACAGATATACATAATTAATCCATAACAGCAATTTGGGAAAAAAGAGCTCGGTCTTGTGCCCACTCACCTGAAGAGCGATCGCCGCAGATGGCGCAGATGTGTTTAGTGAGTGACAGGATGGTGCCCGAGGGCTGGGCTGGAACCTTCATCACACCATTGAGGCCCAGCGGGGGCTTAATGTCCTCCGTGCTGCTGACCGAGTTCATCGGAGAGTTCAGCTGAAACATCAACACACACAAACACACACGCCGACAGGTCACAAAGCAGCCCTCTGAACTCCACACTGGCAAAAATAATACACTTCATTGCACAAAGCCTGTTGGCTAGAGCCAGAAGAGTAACTGATGACATTACAAATTGGTCTCATGATTGACGTCCAGTGGCCTGCAGTCTAGTCTTCGTTTAGACTCAGCTCGATYGGAACATCAGCAGAGTAGGTCCTAAAAACCAAAGATCACCCAATGGGAAGTCTCAACCTGCACGAGAACATCCAGGTGGAGCCTCTGGCATAAATCTGGCACAGCGGGTTTCTGCACCACTCAACCCCAGAAACTCTTTTATTCATGCTCTCAACAAGCCCCGTTGGCTCCCAAACATAGAGCGCCAGGGTAACTCCATCACAAAATGCRGTGTTGTATAAAGTACCACAAAGTGAAACTTGAGTAAAAGTACAAGTACCTTACCAAAAAATAACTTTGGTAAAAGTTAAAGTCTCCTTTAGGAATATTACTTGAGTAAAAGTACAAGTACCTTACCAAAAAATAACTTTGGTAAAAGTTAAAGTCTCCTTTAGGAATATTACTTGAGTAAAAGACTTAAAGTATCTGATATTTTTTGTACTTAAGTATTGAAAGTAAAAGTATTGATTTAAAATGAGCAGTTAGATTTTCTGTAATGACATTAGGAGGTGACCTCCCCAAAAAAGTACAGAAATGACTGTCATATTAAAATAATTAGTTTATGTTAAATTAGGATACACTAGTCCATCTGTTTCAGTTTATATATACACTATATATCCTCAATTTTTCCCCAAGAAGTATAATTTACAATTATATATATAAATAAAGGGTGCCCAAAACTTTTCCCCAAAATGAAAATCTATCTGAGGGCTGCGGCCAAATGCAATAATATAACTCATGAAATACAAATACTTCCTAAGTACAGTCCTTTTATTTTAATGATTATGTCCTGCTGGAGTGTGACATGATTTGTTTGTGTTCAAACTAATACGGTATCAGAATTTTATATATTTATACTTCTTATTCAACCACAATTAAATTCACTCTATCTAGGAGGCACAGTTTATATGGATAGTATTTATTTTTTACAATAACAAGCTGGAATGAAAACAAGCAAAAATGAAATAAAAGTAACAACTTTGTACTTCTTGCCTTTTTTAAAAAATGTAAGGAGTAGAAAGTACAGATAATTGTTTGAAAATGCAAGAAGTGGAAGTAAAAAGTAGGCTGAAAAATAATTACTCAAGTAAAGTACACACACAAAAATTTTACTTAAGTACAGTGACAAAGTATTTGTACTTAGTTACTTTCTGGCAAAATGGAAGCGTACAACAGAATAAAGAAACAGCGTTTGTTGTAGCAGCAGAGCAGCTGCAGCTATAAGTCTAACTTTAGCCGCTTGTTGATCCTTTCTGAGAAAAAGAGCTTTAATTAAACATAAAAAATAAAATAAAATCATCCTAAAGTGACCCGTCTCTGCTTTCTGGAGAAAGTGTAGAGCAAAGGGAGGCTAATTATTTTAATTACCAACATGTTGTTTCCAGGGAACAGGAATGCTGCGAGGCCCGGTATACATTATACAAACACATTAAATGTAATGGATGGAGCAGAGAATAGGTAGCCATTAGATGTGCAAAAACATTAGAAAAGTCACATTAGTCTGCTTGAAACCAAACTGGCTTAATAAGAGTTTAAAAAAAGAGGAACTAAATATATTAACCCAAGTAGTTGCTGTAGAAGCCAGAGGAGAGAGGCGAGTGATGCAGCAGAGCTTGCAGAGCAGCCATATGTTCTGATGAGTCGTGCTTTTATCAAATTACAACCTATGAGAAAAGTCTGGGAACACAAAGACCTTGTTGGCTTGAAAAATGAGCTCAGGCTGTAGCAGAGAAACCCTGTTGCTAGCTGACACGGTGTAGGACAAAGAAACTCTTATCTTTTTGTTTTGTTATCAAAGAACATGTTCAGAACTCTGTTTACACTATATTAGTTATGTAACAGAACATCGAGCGCAAACAAGGCTTTTATAATAAAAAACTTGTAGAATAAAATTTAACTGAACAAACTTTTTATACGCAAATACACATTTATTAATAACAGTGCACCTCCAATGCTGCATTTGCGCTTTAACCCTGATGCATGTTTCTAATGTGACATGCAGAAAAAAACAGTGAAATTCATAGTTATTTTGTTTGTTCTGTTTATAAAACGTAATCTTTATGTGTCATGACGTTTCACAAAACATGACCATATAATGCGATGCTGAGGGACAGAATGTAGCAACAGCAGGTCAGTCAGGCTAATTATATATTTTTATTTCCTTAGCTAAAATAAAATCGCCTAAAATTAGTAGACAATTATTTACTATTATTCTGATAATTTGTTTACCACATTACACAACCTTTATTTTAATTTATAGGACAGCTACAGTAATTGTGAATCATTACATCAAACTGAGGATTAAGTCAAACTTGGGCAAAACATATTTTCAGATTTCATATTATTACGCTACATTTTGAGGCCTGGATCATCCAAAGATTTGTCTTCCTAATCAGGACAACTCATTGATATTTGGTCTGAATCCCCTTTTTTAAGTTATTTTAAAGATGAATTGTTGACGTCATTAAAAAAAAAGGGGGGGGGGTCATATTGTTTTTGTACAGTTTATTTTTATTTTGTTTTATTTTTACAATTTTTACATTTTCCACTGTCCAACCTACACTGCACCAACCAACGGTTTTATGATGGACCCCATATTTGAAGAGGGGGCTCCATCTTAAAAGGGGGTGCCTGGACCAATAAAAATGCTTATAACTCAAAAACTATTCAACAACAGGAGTTTCAGATTTTATTTGTTGTTTAGCTCTGATGAAGGGCTATTCATCAAGCCCAACAAATGAGGCCCCAACCCCCCGGACCCCAGTTCTGGTGCATCGGTGCTTTGCGTACATGCAGGGGTCATATACGCTCCCGCTGTGTGGTTTCTAGTTTGGATACAGAGAGGTAAAGAAAAAATGCTTCACTAGCTCGCAGGAAAAACAACAAAAATTTTAGAGTTGTCTGCTCAAAATCTCATCTTTTGCAGCTACTGCTTAAAAAACAGCTTTGGAAAAAAAAACAACCTGTAGATGAGRTATTTATTCATTATATTTTGACAAAATACACTTGTTCCGACATTGTAATCAATGCACTATAGCTGCATATTTCTTTACATTCCACTTGGTGATTTAATCCTCAGTTCAATGTGATGGGCCACGTTTATAAAAAATGACAAAACTAAAAATAAATTCTGTTCTATTACAACTAGTACTCATAATACGAATAGGAAATAAGTATATGTAGGATCTACATTTTATTTTTTACTTCAAAAACATTGATTTTTAATTTTAGAAGCTCCTTAACCTGGCTTCTGAAAGTGACCAAGATGCAGCTCAACATCTTTTATTAGATCCTCCAGCTACAAGTGGAGAAAAGAGAGGCTAACCAAAGACATTATACTACTTCTGTTCACAAGTGGGCACAAGCTGCTGCAGCTCCAGGCTTCTTATTTAATCATTTTTAACTCTCAGGCTCCAGAATTTGATTTCTCTTTAACAGCTTTGGTTCTTTTAGCTTGCAGCTCCCAGAGAAACACACCTAATCATGACACTTCTCCAGCCTCTCTCTCCCTCTCTTTTGTTTCAGACAAACCTCCGCATGATTTGACGTGGCATCTGGGGTGTTAGGAGAACTTATAGGAACATGACTTGAATTTCAGAATTCAACACTATGAAAGGTTAGAGCTACTGGCAGCTTCTGACTGATGCATCCACACACACACACACCACACACACACACACACACACAAAAAGTTGATTTCTTCCTCCACAAGGAACAGTTTGGTCACAGTGTCACCAAACTCCTGCATTCAGTGCTGTAAACGAACACACACCGACTCAACAAATACACAAAGCGTTGAAAAAGAGATTATTTCCTGCAGAGCTTCACACGCAGTGAGACGGTAAACAGAATGTATATCTTTATCAAATGGCCATGAGTTACATTAGACGTTTTTTAAAAAAAAAAAACATACACCCCAGTGCTCCAAATGGTTCCCTGTGAACTGAAAAAAATAACATTTTACAGAGAGGTTTATGGGATACGCTCACACCAAAATAACTGCAAACATCTCGTGTGCATGTTCATTCACAAGCTCAGTCGCTCCCACACACACACACACACACTCACCTACTCGCCTGGGTCTAGTCTTCCTCTGCAGCGCAGCCCTTGCAGAGCTCTCTCCCTGGCTGGGATTGTCTCTATCAAACCCTCTGTGTGCCTGACAGAAAAGATTCAGCTCCTCACAGTCTATTTCCAGTAAAACTTGCAACTCAATCTGAGCAACGTTGCTCCCTGCGGTGTGTGTGTGTGTGTGTGGGGGGGGGGTACTTTTGCTGTTTGCCCACAGCGAAGGAGACAAGGCAGTGGGGATTAAAGTAGCTCAAGACTAGTTCTGGAAATAGAATACACGAGCCCCCCTGCCTTACAACAGACACATGTCACCCTTCACAAGTCGGTATGCCAGCTGTGCGAGCGACCGAATGGCCCTGGGAAACCACAGCTGACTGGCTTCTCGTTGTCTTGAAGAAAGCCTGAGCCTCAAACTGTTACACAAGAAGACAACATGAGAAACTAAAGGGCTTTCTGAGGTTTAAATATGGGACGGATGATTTCCTGCAGAACAATGTACAACACAAGCAGCTGGACTGCTCCAGCTGTTGAACGCCTTGTGTTCTGCAGGTGTTACGTAACAACATGTGATGGGTACGTACAGCTGGGTGGGTGTCTGTCTGCTCGAGGGTATCAAATTCTGCACAGAAGTGATACRTCTTATTATATGTTATGTGCCATCTGCTGACCTGGCTATGTTGGTGGAAAATTCAAGGATTTGGTGATAATACTGTRTATATATATTTTTTCTTCGTCTTTATTAGGGCAAAGGGTTTCAG